CCCCTACCGCCCACCATGAAAGCTGGAACGCCCACTAGTGGGCGATAGGGACCAGGTTGACTCCACTGATTTACGTACTTCTTCTAAGTGCTAGAAGAAAGGATCCAAGGATAACATCATATAGTATTTATTCTACATTTTGTGTTGTATATCTACTCTTGGGCCTATTTAAATCTATTCATCTAATTTAAATGCTATTACTTTTCTGTGACTTAGGAAATCTCACAAAATCAATACATTTTAAGAATATCAGAATTTCTTTAAATGTAAGAAATAAGTACTAACATGTTATAATGATTTTCACAATAACTACATATGTTTTTCATACTCCTTGAATTTACATGAACTCCATTTAGTACATGCAATTTTTGGCTGTCTGGAATTGTCCTTTTATGTCGTCTTTCTTTTTTTGCAGCACTGAAAAACTTTTTAAATGATGACTGTTTTTATTTTTGTGCAATACGGAAAGTGGAAACTGTAGTGTTAGTACTAAAAGCTTTTGCACAACATAATGCATGTTTTATTTTATTTTAGGTTCACTGTTTCTTGTTAAGCCACTGACTTATCAGTTCAGTCACCCAGAGATTCATCTCCTTATAGAAGCCAGCGACCATGGGAATCCTCCTTTGACTGCTATGACTTCTGTTATAGTGCAGATACAGGCTATGAATACATACATTCCTCTGTTTACAATGGAAACCTATACTTTTACTATAAGTGAAAATGCTTCAGTTGGGGAGAACCTGTTCACATTCTCAGTTAATGACCAAGGTAGAAATCATCAAGGCACCAATGTTGTGTATTCCATCATTGGTGGCAATAACGAGAATAAATTCTATGTGAAAAAGCTCATATTTGGGCCAGAATATTCAGATCAAACAATTGGAAATCTTGTTTTGAGGAACACCCTAGATCGAGAGAAATGTTCATCTTATAAGTTGTTAATTCTTGCATCTGATCCTAAAGCTGCTCATCTAAATTCCACTGCTACCGTGTCGATTACTATTTTAGATGTTAATGACAATCCACCTGTATTTACAAGTTTGGAATATCATGTTCATGTCAGGGAAGATGTTCCAGTTGGTAGTTACATTACTTCGGTGTCAGCATATGATTATGATGCCGGAACCAATGCAGATGTCACTTACAACATAGCCTCTGGAAATGATAAAGGGTACTTCCAGCTAGAAGGTAAAACTGGCTCAATACATCTGATCAGAGCTCTAGATTACGAGGCTGCTACGGGATTCAACTTGACGGTCCAAGCTTCTGACGGAGGAATAGTTCCGAAAAATGTGGCGTTTGCTGTTGTTTTTATCAATGTCCTGGATGCTAATGATTATGTCCCCGTATTTGTTTTCCCAAACCTCAAGTGTGGTGTACAGGAAAATATGCCTGCGTTTTCCTCTGTTTGCACAATTTCTGCACTAGATTTTGATGTTGGTTATCTTGCCTACTCTATCCAGTCATCTTGCTTGCCTAGTCATGGAAATCGTGGAGATCGTAACCTGTTTATAATAGATTCTTTGTCTGGAAATATCCACACCAAGCAGGTGCTTGACTTTGAACATCAGATTAAGTACTGTTTCATTGCACAGGCAAAAGATAAAAGCAATTCCACAGCTACCATTACTGTTTGGATTAATGTTGAAGGATTAGATGAACTTGACCCTGTGTTCAACCAAGATGAATATTTCTTTTATTTTCCCGAGAAGCATGAAGCTGGGCAGTGGATTGGTGATGTAAAAGCGTCAGACTGTGATGGTGGAGTGGATGGTGTCATTTATTATACTTTGTTAGGACAATCTTTCTTCTTTTCGGTGAACTGTAGCAGTGGGTCTGTTTATTTGGCTGGATCTATTCACAAAAACAGAAGCAGCAAGAAGGAGAAAGATGGCACTTTTGAACTTCTAATAAAAGCTCATAGTCCAAAGCAGGACTCAAAGTCCAGCACCTGCACAGTTATGGTAAACATTTTTAATAGCCCGGAGACCTATCCCACATTGCCAGCAGCTAACCTGTCTGTTAGCATTGCCATCTCTATCATAGTACTTTTGTTCTTAGCCATCTGCCTTGCTGTGCTTATTGGTAGATATATACTAAAAGATACCTGCAAGTATAGCCTGAAGAAAGAGATGCCATGTCCCTCAGTTATAGATCTAAACATGCATAGACAAAAGAACTCATCTAAACATTTCCAAGAACCCCAAATCCATGGAACAACTATTCTTCCTTTAGGGAGCACAGCTGATTGGCTGGATTTGATTGGTACCAGGGATAAAAGAAATATTGATAGTTTTTGTGTACAATCCAACTCACATAGCCACGGACCAATAGAAGAGAAAATTGGAGAAAATGTGGAACTAAAAACAATTAATGAACACCTTACTAGGAAGGGTACGAGATCTGCTTTAAGTGACAAATGCTCATTTATACCAGATTCAGGAATTTCAAGGGATTCTGATCCGTTTTCATGTCAGTCTGGAGAAAATAAGATTATGTACATTTCTCAAAACACAGAAGCTCTCCATTACTTCAGAGAACTACTCTGGAACAAAATGGTGTCCCACACACTTGCAAAAGTGACAGTCAAAGAAATTGAGATAATGACTGATCTCACAATGGAATATATAGAAGCACCTGGGAGCAAGGATCTTGTTACCCCATTAGACTCTGTTAAAGATCTTGGAGAGAATCATAACTGGAATTGTTTGCTGAACTGGGAACCCAGCTTTAAGCCTCTTGCTTCTGTGTTCAGTGAAATTGCAGAACTGCAGGATGAAAGTATCGAAATACATAATTTTCCTAAAGGGGACAAATCTTTCATTTTTCCTCCTTTGCTTGCTTCTACAGCTCAACCTGATTTAAAATCATATTTCTCACAACTGCCAACTTCATTGCCAGATGCATTTTAAAAATATCCCCATTCATCTGATGTCCGTCATTTGAAATCTCCTTCAGCGCTTATAATCCTAGGTTTTTCACCTTTTCACCAAAGAGCCATGGTGGCACAGTGGTTAGAGTGCAGTACTGCAGGCTACTTCTGCTGACTGCTGGCTGCCTGCAATTTAGCAGTTCGAATCTCACCAGGCTCAAGGTTGACTCAGTCTTCCATCCTTCCGAGGTCGGTAAAATGAGGACTCAGATTGTTGGGGGCAATGTGCTGACTCTGTAAACATCTTAGAGAGGGCTGCTATTCCCTATCTCTGCTGATCATAGAAAAACTTACAATATCTCCAGTTGCCTCATATCTTAATCTGAAGGGAATCAGTTCTAGTTGGTCAGCATGTGAACTTTCAACAGAAGAATATTATATATACCTTTCACCCTGGCTTGGCTGATAACGGATAAGACCCTGTGGCCTAATGGCTAAGATGTCTGCCTAATATGTAATATAG